GTAAGAATGCAACATGTTACATGTACATTAACATGTTGGTGGCTGTAGCACTTCCTGTCTACCAGCTTTAGTGGTCTGGACTGTTGGCCTCAGGGGTTAACCTTTTACTGTAATAACAATAATGCATTTTATTTCTTAGATCCTTTCAAGACACCCAAGGACACTTTACAAAATTTAAAACAATAAAATACAAAAATTAATATAATATAAAGTAAAAACTAGGAGTAATGACCAATAAGTTAGAGCAAGAATGCCAACTTGAATAGTTGGGTTCTAATTTAGTCAATATCGTGGATATATCTAGAGGAAGAGATGTCCAGAGTTGGGGAGCAGAGTGAGAAAAGGCTCTATTTGTAACCGTGCTAAGGCGGACAGAGGACATGGTGAGGTGCATAGAAGAGGGAGGGAGGGAGCGAGGGAGCCGGAACGATATGGTGAAACGAGGGGTTTATGGTGCGAGCAGTTGAATTTTGGACCATTTGAAGCTTTCAGAGGGTTTTGTGAGGCAGACCAAAGAAGAGAGTGTTACAATAATGAATTAAATAACGTTAACTAGGATGGAAGCAGAGTGGAGAGAAAGAAAGGTGGAGTCAATTAATATTTGGAAGGTGGAAAGATGCAGACGACTATTGTTATTGATGTGAGAGTGAAATGAGAGTGTGCTGTCAAGAATGGCAGCCAGACTCATGACCTGAAGGAAGGGAACCAAGCAGCTGTCAGGGAGAAACTGTTTGAAGAACAGAAATCTTTGACCCAAAGAAGAATCTGTCCAGAGGACCTGACTCAGCCTTGTTAGAGAAACTGTTCACTTTGTAAAGGGTGGATTTAGTGCCAATGAGTATAAACTCTGTTTAATTTAAGGACGTTTGATGTGAACCAGGATTTGATTTCAGCTAAGCAGGGAGTGAGGGAGGAGGGTGGAAGTGAAGAATTTGGTGAGGTGGACAAGAAGCTAAAGAAGGTGTCATCAGCAAAACAGTGAAAATGGATATCAAATTTATAGAAAACGTTGCCAAGTGGAAGTTAGGTGATGAAAAGAAGGGACCCCAGGACAGAGCCTTGAGGCACACCTGAAGTGACGGAGGAGGAGTATCTGAATGATTTGAGTTGGATGAACGGATTGCGGCCAGAGAGATTTGAGTGAAAGCAAGCGACGGAAGTGGTGCCAATGGATGATAGTTTATGAAGATATGAAGAAGGATGTAGAGGATGGTATGAAAAGCTGCACTGAGATCAAGGAGGTTGAGGAGGGAGAGTAAACCAGAATCTGCTGCCATGAGAAGAGCATTGGTGATTCTCGGGAGAGAATCATAGAGAGAGAGCAGATTCTGTGCTGTGACCGGGGCATGAACCAGACTACAATTGTTAAAAGGGAATGGAGTTGAGAGGTGACCGATTTTTCAAGAACATGTCATCAGAACTCCTCCCATCATGCCTTATCATGTTGAACAGGTGAATAATGACTACCTTTACTGCATGTTAACACATTATTACCAGAGTTATCAACAACTCAGAGAAAACAAAACATTTAAACAAAAATTATTACATAAGCTGAGAATTCTGACTGATTATAAATGATATAAAACCAAAGATTAATGTAATCCCTGACAGAAACCAAAAAGACACATGGGATATTTATTATTTATGAAGTATGACAGTCTTCACCTCTGACCCGCTGACATTTAGTTGTTGATTTTAACATCTTGGAGCCAAAAATGTATCAGATACTTTTAGGTTTAATATTTAGGAGACACTGCAGGTTTCTTTCTGTCAGAGGGCAGTGTTGATCCGGTTATTGAGGTTTAACAAACTATGAGAAACTTAATAACTTTAATCATGAATCATTTATAGTTTATTCCTGTAGTCATTCACTAAGGTGTACCGTAGATTTAGCAGTGTTTTGTTTAGAAGAACAATACTTTGTTAAACATTTGGTTAGCTGCTCCAATATGCTAACAGGAGGATACAGCCTGGTGAGTTTCTTTAGACTTAAAACCATACCACACCAGCTTTATTTATAGAGCACTTTAAACACCCACAGGATCAAAGTGCAACTCACACTGTCTTACAGCAAACCTGCAGAATAATTGTGAGTGTATTTTACTGGGATTTGGCCAAATAATGATGTAAATGGGTTCATGATGTAAAGCAGCATTAGCTTGTGGCATGTTAACAGGTTAATAAATTGGTCTTTTAATGCTTGGAAAACTTTGCAAGACACATTAGACTCTAAACCCACAACAGATTAATATCCGGATTACCGGTAATTGTGGAATGTATTCATTGCCAACTTTGAAAACCTCACAAGTGAACAGATTCACGATAATGCATGCTAAAACAGGGTTAGCTTGGAGCTATAGCAGGGTTGGCTAGGAGTTAAAACAGGATTTGTTTGGAGCTAAAGCACGGTTAGCTTGAAGCTAGCAGCTAACAGGCCTTCAGCCTTAAAGCATGTGAAACCATGTCTCAAGCAGGGCCAAATGATAGACATGTTAATTATCGAAGGACTCTTTAACATAGACACCTCATGTCCTCTCCTTTAGATGCCTAACATGAAAAACAAAGTCACATCAGAGGTCATAAATAGACAAAACTTTGTCACAAACAGTGAATGGTAAATGGACTGTACTTACATAGCACCTTTCTATCTTATTTCAAGATACTCAAAGCTCTTTACACTACAATCTGTGCCTCATTTACCCATTCATACAGCTCTATACTAGATCTCTACAAAGCTAAATTGAGCAAATCATTCTAAAGAGACTAATCAGTGCTTTAGATCACATTCATACACTGATGGGACACTGATGGGACACACATCAGAGGCTATGAGGGGTTCAGTGTCTTGCCCAGGGACACTTCAGCATGTGACTGCTGATGGATTCGAACCCCCAACTCTCGCATTGGAGGACGACTGCTCTAACCACTCAGCCACAGCTGCCCCAGCCGTCCTGATGCATGCTCAATAATCCAGGTAGATTAACAAAGTTGAGTCAGGTCCGCTGTTCTTTTTTGAAACGTTTCGTAAACATTGAACACAAGCCAAACCACCACAGAGAACAGTTGACAAGAGGCCTTCAAACCTTTCAGAATGATCAATTCAATTCAGTTTATTTACAGTGCCTTGCGAAAGTATTCGGCCCCCTTGAACTTTTCAACCTTTTGCCACATTTTAGACTTCAAACATAAAGATATAAAATTTTTATTTTTTGTGAAGCATCAACAACAAGTGGGACACAATCATGAAGTGGAATGAAATTTATTAGATGTGTCAAACTTTTTTAACAAATAAAAAACTGAAAAGTGGTAAGTGCAATATTATTGGGCCCCTTTACTTTCAGTGCAGCAAACTCACTCCAGAAGTTCAGTGAGGATCTATGAATGATCCAATGTTGTCCCAAATGACTGATGATGATCAATAGAATCCACCTGTGTGTAATCAAGTCTCCGTATAAATGCACCTGCTCTGTGATAGTCTCAGGGTTCTGTTCAAAGTGCAGAGAGCATCATGAAGACCAAGGAACACACCAGGCAGGTCCGAGATACTGTTCAGAGTCAGAGATTCTTTGTCATTCGCACCTCATGTGGTACATGTGGTGGAGCGAAATTATGTTCACAGGGTCCCAGTTACATCCACCAATAAAATGTATAAGAAAAACAGTAATAACATCTAAGATATGAACTAAGAAAAACATCAACTAAATATACACTAAGCACTCATAACATAAAACATTGAACATCAGCACAAACATGAACATGAGTCTGTGAGCAGATGTGCACGCATGAACACATCAACATTTAAACAGATCAGCAGCAACATGAAACAGATCAGCAGCAACATGATGTGGTTTTTCACAGTGATTATTCTAGTTAGAGATTCATGAGTCTAACAGCCTCAGGGTAGAAGCTGTTCCTCAGTCTAGTGGTTCTACACTTAATGCTCCTCAACCTCCTTCCTCAGGGGAGTGGGGCAAAAAATGTGTGTGCTGGGTGAGTGAGGGTCCTTCATGATGCAGGTGGCCCTCTTCCTGCATCTGGAGGTGTAGATGTCTGTGATGGTGGGGAGACTGACTCCAACATCTTCTGTGCATCCTTCACCACTCTCTGCAAAGCTTTTCTTTCTGCAGCTGTGCAGCCTCCATGCCACACGTTGATGCTGGAGCACAGGATGCTCTCCACTGCACACCTGTAGAAGGAGGTGAGGACTGAGCTTCCAGACCAGCTCGCCTCAGCTGTCTGAGGAAGTAGAGTCTCTGATGAGCTTTCTTCATCAGGCTGGTGGTGTTGTTGCTCCAGCTGAGGTTGTCATTCATGTGCCCAAGTGCTTGTAGCTGGAGACTACTTCCACCGCAGATCCTCCTATGTTCAGGGGGGTGTAGATGTTTTTGTTCCTTCTGAAGTCCACAATCATCTCCTTTGCCTTCTTCACATTGATGTGAAGGTTATTCTCTTTGCACCAGCTCTCCAGGTGTTCCACCTCCTGCCTGTAGCTGGACTCATCATTGTTTGTGATGCATCCCACCACCGCTGTATCATCTGCAAACTTTACAATGTGACAGCCTGGATGGGTAGCTGCAGCTGCAGCTGTAGCTGTTGTGGAGAAGTTTAAAGCTGGATTTGGATACAAAAAGATTCCCAAGCTTTAAACATCCCAAGGAGCACTGTGCAAGCAATCATATTGAAATGGAAGGAGTATGAGACCACTGCAAATCTACCAAGACCCGGCCGTCCCTCTAAACTTTCATCTGGAACAAGGAGAAGACTGATCAGAGATGCAGCCAAGAGGCCCA